GTGGAAATTCATCCTAGTTCAGCAAATTCCTCAAGCACAGCAGCTACAAAATCAGACACAGCTTTGGCAGCAGGCGCAAATGCAGTTACTTCAGCCTGCTTTAGCGGTCAGTGTCATTTTTGTTGTTTTTTATAACTTCCAAAATCTTGGGCTTGTTCATTGATAAACTTCTCTGATTCGTGTTTACAGTATCAGACCTCTGGTGTGGATAACCACTAACCAGCAAAACACCCAGGTAATTTCTGCCCATGTTATAAATGAGTTAATTTTAAGATGTTATAATTGAATACAGTTTGCCACTGAACTTGCCAAAATTTGATAAGAGATAATAGCTCATCTGAATAACTTTGTGTACTATTTCTCAGTACATGATTTGATAGGCAGTGATTTTGTCGATATATAAGCTCTACAGGTGTGCATATTGGTTAAGGGCTGTGGTTGGTCTTTTAGAATTTCCAGGTTCCACCCGGGTAAGGTGTGTATTTTAACATTTAAATCAGATTCATTGCATTGGAACAATGACATTCATAGACTATTCTATCTTAGCTCACATTTGTTAGCATGCATAGAATAGTGATATATGATGTTATATCCCATTGGATCAACACACAGTGGTTGTCTTCATATATATCAATGTCATAAGAGATAAGATAAGAAATGAGTGTATGAGGAAGAAGTTAGATTAATTTTCATTGGAATAAAAAAATTGCCAAACTTGTGGGTTTACCAGTTGAAATCTCGAATTTTAAAGTAGTCATAGACAATGTTTTAAATATCGGTTATAGAAAATATATCGGACACCCAAGATTCATGGCGGATCTCGGTTATTGGGGATATATCGGGGATAAGTAGTAAAAAATTGGAGTGTCATATCGGATGGTGAACATATTTAATATAATGTTCTAAAATGTAATCTAAGCACATTTAATGAAATATCAAGAGAGGATCTTCAGAGAGGTTGTCGATAGAGGTCTTTGAGTGAGAAATTTGTGAGCAATTTGGGGGAGAGAACAGTGAACGTGGAGAGAACTAGGGTTACACAACGAGCTGATATGAAATAGAATAGGATAGCATGATTTTTGTTTAGTGGATGCGGGTCGGTATGGAAAAAGAGGATTTTTGCCTCCAAACCCGAACCGGTTCACGTAGAATGTAAATTGTAGAAAATCGGGTGATTTTTAGTCCACGAGAAATAGATCACTTTATCGGATTTACATTGATATATTGGGACAAATCGGCCAAAAACAATATGTAATAAATTTCTACAGAAATTGTATCGGCCATGACCCAAACTCTATATATCAACGATAAACTGATAAAATCAACCTATTTTTAAAACACTGGTCATAGATTCATAAATAATTATTATTGGGTCCAATGAACAACAATAGACAAAAATCGTGGGAGCCTGTGAAAATTATGAATATTGAAGTTCACACAATTAATGGCTATTTGGACAAAAAAAGGATAAAAATCATAGATTATAGCCCATGAAAACCATAAATATTTGAGTATGCATACATTATTTGCCATTAGGTCAAAGAACAAAATTTGACAAAAACTGTGAGTTGTAGTCCATGAAAATCTCAATTTTTGATGAAAGAAAATTTAATTTTCATTGGGTTAAAACTAACAAAAGGAGACAAATAATGGATTACAACCCATGAAAATAACAATTTTCTGTACACATGATTAGTTGTCAATGGGTTGAAAAGAACAAAAATGAACAAATATCGTGCGTTATATAGCCAATTGAATCGCGAAATATGTAGAACAAAAATGAACATATATCGTGCGTCATAGCCAATTGAATCGCGGAATATGCTTACTTTATTGCCATTTGGACGAAACAAACAAAAATGGACAAAAAGGTTATAACGAACTAAATCAACAAATATTGTGAATTTTGAACTGCGCATACTTATTTATTATTGGGTCAAAACAAATGAAAGTTAACAAAAATTGTGTGTTAGCCAATAAAAATTACGAACTTTGAAGTACATAAACTTAGTTGTCTGTCATTGGGTTGAAGAATAAAAGTTGACAAAAATCGTAGATTATAGTATTATGAAAATTGCAAATTTTTACGAAAGAAAATTTAATTGCGATTAGGTAGAAATTAATGAAAATAGACTAAAGCCATGTGTTTTAATTCATAAAAACCACACATTTACCGGTATGCACGATTAGTTGCTATTGGATCGAAATGAGCAAAAATGGATAAAAATAGTTGGTTATAATCAGTGAAAATAATGAATGTTGAAGTATGCATATTTATTTGTCATTGGGTCGAAGCAAACAAAGTTGATAAAAATCGCGTGTTATAATTAGGGGTGCAAAAAAGTAACCGTACTCTAGGAAATATCCATGTCTATATCTGTATATGTTAGGATGTCTGCATGGTTGCTAAAATCTATATTTGATAGAATATAGTTGCAAATATGGATATGTAGTTCGGATCTGTATCCGAAATATCAGAATATATGTTAGTCATATAGTTGCAAAAATTTTAATCATTAAATTAATGATTTTGAGGTTATTTTGATGATCAAGAGAGCTAGTCTAGCTTTTCAGACATAAGGAAAATATTAATAACCTCTTGTATCATATGAACTATATTGTTTTTCAATATTATATGGTTTTCTTATGTCCGTTTTCTATACACATGTATATCCATATCCATATATGATTTTAGCGGATATGGATATAGAATTTCCTTACAAAGGCATATGTGTATCTATATTCGTGATTGGTAACTAGATACAAATATAGTAAGTATCATATCTAATAAGATTTATCTGAAATTAGTTATATCCTATGAAATTTGCAAATTTTGAAAATCCTGGGTAATAATTATTTGTCATTGGGTAAATATGGCTATTTTAAAATTCATGATTTTCGCGGGTTTAGCATATGATTTTGTCAATTTTTGTTCGTTTTGTCATAATAGCAATTAATGTGTGAACTATATTCGCAATTTTCATATTCGCAATTTTCATGAGCTATAACCCATGAATTTTATCTATTATCTTTTATTCAGCCCAATGACAATTAATTTTGACTACTAATAAATATGCGATTTTGATGGTTAACCCACAAATTTGACAAATTTTTTTGTTTGTGTCATCCCAATGACAAATAATTATACATATGTTGAAATTTGTGATATTCATGGTCTCTAACCCACATTTTTTGCCCATTTTTTTTGTTTTGACCAAACGACAGTTAAGTATGAGTGCTTCAAATGTTTTGATTTTCATGGGCTATATTATCCATTTTTTATTCCTTTCGAGCCAATGATGATTAAGTATGCGTTCTTAATAAAAGTTTGCAAATTCTATGGGCTATGCACGATTTTAGTCAATTTTTATTTATTTTGACATAATGACAATTAAGTATGCATAGTTTAAAATTCACGATTCTATGGGCTATAACCTATGTTCATTGTCCATTTTTTGTTTATTCCCACATAATAGCCGATTAGATTTTTGTTCTTCAAAATTTCCGATTTTAATGGGCTATAATCCACGATTTTTGTGGAATGTCGTTTATTTTGACTCATTGGTAGTTAATTATGTATACTTCAAAATTCGCGATTTTCATGGATTATTACCCACGATTTTCATAATTCGCGAATTTCATGGACTAGGTATTATCCACAATCTTTGTCAAATTTCGTTAGTTTGAACCCATTAACAAATAAGTATGTGTACTTTTTCATATATTATAATCCCACTATTTAGTCTACTTTTATTAGTTTCGATCCAATGACAATTAAAATTTTCTTCCATAAAAAATCACGATTTTCATGGGCATAACCTACAATTTTAGTCAATTTACGTTATCCGGCTCAATGAAAAATAAGTATGTGTACTTCAAATTTCACGATTTTTATGGCCTATAACCCATGATTTTTGTTAATTTCATTCGTTTTGACTCATCGACAAATAAGTGTGCATAGTTCAAAATTCACCATTTTGTCTATTTCTAACTAAGCATATTTCAAGTCAAGATTAAATGAGCTATAACATATTTCCTCAATTTTTTTCGTTACTACCCAATAACAATAGGTTAAAATACCATAATAATTGTGATTTTCATTGGCTATAACCAATGATTTAGTCTAATTTGTTAGCTTTGACCCAATGTCAATTAAAATTTTCATCAAAAGTGTAATTTTTATCCATTTTTTTGATCTAATGACGAATAAGTACGCGTACTTCAAAATTCGCGATTTTCATGGAATCCACGAAATTAACAAAAATCATGAAAATTTTATCAATTTTCATTCGTTTTGACCCAATGTCGAGAAAGTATGCATACTTCAAAATTCAGGATTTTCAGTGCTTATAACCCACAAATTTGTTTTTCCATTTTGTTCTTTTGACTCAGTGGTAGTTTACTAAGCATATAATAAAGTTCACAATTTATACATGAGCTATATAACATACAATTTTGGTCCATTATTGTTCAAGCGATCTAGTGGAAACTAATTATGATTACTTCAAAATTCACAATCTTAATGGATGATAACTAGATTATACAATTTTAATCGTTTCGTCCCAATGACAAGTAATTATATGTGCTCCAAAATTTGCGATTTCATAGTTATAGCCTGTGAATTTTTGTCATTTCTCGTTCATTTCGACTCAATGGCAATTACTTATGCGTACTTCCAAATTTGCGATTTTCATGAGCTATTATCCATAATTTTCAAAACTCGCGAATTTCATGGGCTATATAAGATTTATGTCAATTTTTGTTTGTATCAGCCTAAGGTGAATTGAGTTTTTTCCTTCAAAATCGCGATTTCATGGACTATATAAATCTATGATATTTGTCAATTTTTATTCTTTGACCAAATGACAGATAAGTATGTGTAACTTAAAATTCATGATTTTCGTGGGCTATAACCCATGACTTTTATCTGTTTCGACCTAATGACAGTTAATTAGGCATACATTTTAAAATTCGTGATTTTCGTGGACTTTCATGAATTT